CTATTTTCTAACTTTTCTATGGTAGTGCAACTCAAATCACAGTTTACAAGCCAGCAGTATCAGTAAAACCTGGAAGTCTGGAAAATGTGTAATTTACTTAGAATTTACTTGATGGCAGTGGGTTTTCTACAGTATACCCCTAGTGGGTCAACAGTTTAAGTCTTGAGTTGCTAAGCGCTAGCAGTTCAAAGGTACAAGTTGCTCTACAGGAGAAAGATAGCAGGTTTGGAAACCCTAAGGCACATTTCTACTTTGCTCTATGGGGTTGTGATGAGTTGGAATTGAATTCATAGCATTGGTTTTATCCTAAGCCACCATCACCCATATATGCTGGAAGCTATCACACCAGTTATTCAAATACCAGCAGGGTTATCCACTGTGTTAGGCTGAGTCATCTAGAGGAACAAAACCAGTAAAACTCATATATGTATAAGAAGGACCTCTACATCAAGAAATTGTCCCAGCCCAGTCCAAGTCAAGTCCATGGGTCCAAAGCTAGGCAGAGCCCATTTCAGACTCACATAACCAATGGCCGATGATACAGAAAGTTGAAGTGGATGCAGGGAGATCACAGGTTGGTAGGTGAAAGGTCAGTGGAAACACAGCAGGGTGCCAACAGCTCTCAGGGTTGGGCAGCCCAAATGGGGCCACACTGGCGACCAGCATGGAGTCCCAGCAATTAGAAAGGAAAAGAGGCAGAGAGAGAGAGGAGAGTCTCCAGTGTATCTCTTATAAGAAGGCCGCACTTCTTATGGACAGGTTGGACACCCCCTCTACAAAAGTGCAAGTTGACATATAATGAAACTGCCATGCCCACTAAGGATGAATAGTTTCAATAGAGCTTCCAATCTAAGATAAACAAGAAGAAGATCCCAGAATCTACTTTTGACAACTAGTCAGTGGATCACAACAGACTTTATTATTCAACTCTACTGCTTTGGAAACGGTGTCAAGAGGAGTTGCTGGCTAAGAAGAGGACCTGGTCTGGTGAAAAAGGCCATCGTAGGTAAGGGAGATGTTTGGTGATATAGAGTGGCACTAAAGCCACAATGATGGTTTCCAACATGCCAGGGATGCTGAGGGGGACACCAGAATGGGCAATGCTTTGTTCTCTTGTAGCAAGGGTCACCGTGAGGCTGTGGTTCGACAGCAGCTATCTGTTTATCTATACCCAGGCCAACTAAATCATCCTTTCTGGCAGCAGGGTTAGCAAGCATTTCTTTGATCTCTTCAGGTTCACTGTATAAGAACAGGTCCTAGCTTTCTGTACAAGCAGGATGACCAGCTGTGGATGGAGAGCAGGAAGCCCCCATTCATGGGGACCAGGAATCCTTTTCCATCTACAAACACTGGAAAGGCACGTCATAATGTTGGAGGAGACTCTGCTGCTTTCAGCTTCCATGGGCAGTGCCAGCTCGGCTGCTTCATTGGGGAACCTAACTTCTTTCCTCTGGGACACTCAGAAGGTCAGCCTGGGGCCAATAAATGAAGTTCTTACTCTAGATCCCACAGGCTTTGTGGAACTTAGATGGGTTTTCATATTTTCTTACTCATCCTGCCCAATCCCCCCACCATTCTACAGAGTTCAAATATGAAAAATGCCCTTCTTTTCCTGTGACATTGAGTAGATGCTCAAATCCACTCTACCTTGTTCACAGAGGAACCGATTTTCAAAGACCCGTGCTCACTCCCTGGTTCTCAGCTCCTAATGCTTCCTCCCCACAAGAGCTGGGGTCCTTCTTCCCTCCTCACTTCAAGAACACATCAGAGTCCCTCAGGCCAAGGAGCCAAGGAGCACACGCACTCTCCCCTCCACACATCCCCAGGACTTCCAGAGAACCTGCTCAGAACATTGTGGCCTCTACTTCTTTCTTCTTTCTTGCCTTTCAATTTTTTCTTTCCTGTTTTAGAAAACTTTAGCTATATCTTTCAATTATTAAATTTTATTTAGTGACTCTAGCAGATGGCATGTTCTGCTATTTTAGGCTTCCATCTGGACAGTTCTGGAATGCTCCAACATTCCCTGAATCTTGCTATCCTAGGGCTGCCTACAGACTTGACCCTTGTGTGGGGGAAAGGAAGAACCATGGCCATGAGAAAGCCATTGTGATCAATTTGTGATTCTGTCATCCACCGTGAAAATCACTCATGTCCATCAGACCTTGGGCTATTTGGACTGGAGATTTGGAGACTAAAGGAAACGTGTTGTCAATATTGTAAAATAAACAAGGGGATCACCCTCCTTGCTAAAGGGAACAAATTTAGAAATGGCCACAACAAAGAGAGAAGGAATATTCCCTTCTCATGATAGATTCTATCAACATCATAATGTATCACCCTAAAAAAAGATGAATAAAATTTTTGCAAAAGTTTCCTTTTTCCTTTCAAATATTTCTTTACATTATCACACACATAATCAATGAATGCATGCTTTAAGATTCACAACAGACAGTAAACAAACAAACAAAAATGCATCAGTGAGAATGGAGGGGTTCGGAGCAGAGACCAAAAATCCATCTGTGCACAATGGAACATCCCCACCACAGAGGGGTCACAGGGAGGAGATGAGTCAATCAGGGTGTAGTAGAGCACTAATTGATCATGCAATATACCTCTGATCCCTTGAGGCCTCCTCACCCCCCACTATCATGACTCCAATGCTGCTCCCCACTCTGGACTAGAGGGAGCATGTACGTAGGTATAGGGAAGAGATAAAACTCACAGCACGTTGAACCCAGGAACAGGAACGGGAATAGAGATCCCAAAAGGGT